AAATAAATAAAAGAAGCTTTTGGGTTTGATATAATCCCATTTGTTTATTTTTCCTTTGGTTGCCTCTGCTTTTGCCTCTGCTTTCATATTTTTCATGAAGTCTGTGCCCAGTCCTACTTCCTGAAGTGTTTCTTCTATGTTTTCTTTGAGTGGTATTATTATTTCAGGTTGTATATTTAATTCTTTAATCCATTTTGAGTTGATTTTAGTATATGATGACAGGTATGAGTCTAGTTTCATTCTCCTGCATATGGATATCCAGTTATCCCAGCACCATTTGCTGAAGAGGCAGTCTCTTCCCCAGTGTATAGGTTTGGTGCCTTTGTCAAAGATCAGATGGCTGTAGGTGTGTGGGTTGATTTCTGGATTCTCTATTCTATTCCATTGATCACTGTGTGTTTTTATGCCTGTGCCATGCTGTTTTGGTTATTATAGCTTTGTAGTATAGTTTAAAATCAGGTAGTATTATGCTTCCAGCTTTATTTTTTTATTTTTTGCTCAGAATTGCTTTGACTATGTTTGGTCTTTTGTTATTCCATATAAATATCTGGATAGTTTTTTCCATTTCTGATAAAAATGTCCTAGGAATTTTGATGGGGATTGCATTGAATTTGTATATCACTTTGGGTAGCATGGACACTTTCACAATGTTGATTCTTCCAATCCAAGAGCATGGAATATCTTCCATCTTCTTGTGTCCTCTTTAATTTCTCTCAGCAGTGGCTTGTAGTTCTCATTATAGAGATTTTTCACATCCTTGGTTAACTCTATTCCTAAGTATTTTATTTTTTTGGTGGTTATTCTAAATGGGCAAGCTTTCTTGATTTCTCTTCCTGCATGTTCACTATTGGAGAATAGAAATGCTACTGATTTTTGTGTGTTGATTTTGTATTCTGCAACTTTGCTGAAGTCATTTATCAACTCCAAGAGTTTTTTTTGTAGAGGCTTTAGGCTGTTCAAAATATAGGGTCATGTCATCTGCAAACAGGGACAGTTTGACTTCATCTTTTCAAATCTGGATGCCCTTTATTTCCTTCTCTTCTCTGATTGCTCTGGCTAGTACTTTCAACACTATGTTGAATAGGAGTGGTAAGAGTGGGCATCCTTGTCTAGTTCCATTCAGGATGATATTGGCAGTGGGTGTATCATATATGGCTTTAATTATGTTGAGATACTTTCCATCTATACCTAACTTGTAGACAGTCATGAACAAATGTTGAATTTTGTCAAATGCTTTTTCAGCATCTATAGAGAAGACCATATGGTCCTTGTGTTTGATTTTATTGATATGGTGTATCACATTTATTGATTTGTGTATGTTGAACCAACCTTGCATCCCTGGGATGAATCCCACTTGATCATGGTGTATAATTTTGTGTATGTGTGGCTGTATTCTGTTAGCTAGTATTTTATTGACGATTTTTGCATTTATATTCATCAAGGATATTGGCCTGTAGTTTTCTTTTTTAGTTGTATCTTTACCTGGTTTGGGTATCAGGGTAATGTTTGCTTCATAGAATGAGTCTGGGAGAATTGCCTCTGTTTCAATCTTTTTGAATAGTTTGTAGAGAATTGGTGTCAACTCCTCTTTGAATGTTTGGTAGAATTCTGCTGTGAATCCATCTGGTCCTGGGCTTTTCTTTGTTGGGAGCCTTCTGATAACAGCTTCTATCTCTTTTATTGCTGTTGGTCCGTTCAGATTTTCTACATTGTCTTGGCTCAGTTTTGGTAGTTTGTGTGTGTCCAGAAATGTATCCATTTCCTTCAGATTTTCAAATTTCTTGACATATAGTTTAAAGTAATCTCTAATGATTCTTTGTAATTCAGAGGTATCAGTTTCTTTTTTATTTCTAATTTTTGTAATTTGGGTCTTCTCTCTTCTTCTCTTAGTTAGCTGTGCTAATGGTTTGTCAATTTTATTTATCTTTTCAAAAAACCAACTTTTTGATTCATTGATCTTTTGTATCATTTTTTGGGTTTCAATCTCATTAAGTTCTGCTCTGACCTTAATGATTTCTTTCCATCTGCTAACTTTGGGTTTGGATTGTTCTTGTTTTTCTAGTTCTTTAAGGTGAAGTATTAGGTTGTTCACTTGCCATCTTTCCATTCTTCTGAAGTAAGCATTTAATGTGATAAATTTCCCCCTTAGTACTGCTTTTGCAGTATCCAACAGGTTTTTGTAAGATGTTTCATTGTTTTCATTAGTTTCAATAAATTTTTTGATTTCCTGTACGATTTCTACTTGGACCCATACATCATTAAGTAGAATGCTGTTTAATTTCCATCTGCTTGTATAGTATCCAAATTTTCATTTGTTATTGATTTCTCATTTTAATCCATTGTGATCTGAAAAAATCCATGGAATAATTCCAATTTTTTTTTAATTTGTTGAGACTTGATTCGTGATCTAAC